TTTCATTATTGTTCCATAGTTTTGGAGCAGTGTTTATGAGGAGTATTTCTTGAAGACGAATGATTTGCTATGCTGACGTTAGTGACTAAATGGAAAAAAGGATGTCGACGAAAGGAATTGATGGTATTTGTGATAACAAAGAGGTGTACAATGAGTTGCTGATGAATAAAAAAGTGCAGTGGAGAACCCTAGAATTCATTGTAATTCCTGAAATGCAGAATTGAATGAGGCGTATCCGTTAGATTGCAGAGGGGCACAATTCAGAAGATGATTTACTTTGTCATTTCAGCACATGATATCGAGCAAACTGCGCCCGGCTTGGCCCGCCAAACTTATATGAAAGGAGCAATATGTAATAAAACATGTGAAAATCTCGATCCCTGCTATAACGTTCCAATGCCACCAGAGGATCCGCGATTGAAGTCCAAGTGAGTTCAGTCATTTAGAACATAACAGTTTATCCATTCAAAACAACGTGTTTTATGCAGATGAATTGTTCAAGCAAGTCAAATCTGTCAGCTCCAAGAGATCTGAACTGGTTTTCGGTTTGCACCTGTTTCACGAAAATAGAAATTTTATGGGACTCATGTTTTAGGCATGCACCGAAAATTAAATGCATTGAAGTGGAACGTTCGAGCGCTACGTGTGGATCCGGTCAGACTGGGCCAATCTACCGCCAACTAACCTATAGAGAGCAAATGAATATTGTAAGATATTTTCGATTGTATCCTGCTGTTGTAAAAATCGATCGAGATTTTTAGGCTAAATGTCATTTCTTCGTGCCTTAGACAGAGCACGTTTTCATCGAAATTGACCGCACTGGGAATAAACGCTGACTAATATTGATAGCGTACGATGAGCTCGAACTGTATGACGATGTTGCAGTAGGCGGTTTCTTGCACGATGTTTTTGATTCGACACAGGTCGAAAGCTCAGATGTCATCTGCTGTCTTGAATCACTCTTCTCTCTTCTTTGCTATGCATTATAAAATGGTAGTAGTGCGGATTTTCAATGAATAAACGAGTTGACACCGGACAACTCGTTTTGCGAATGTTGTCGCTATTAAACTCAAACGAGTGGAAAATTTTGCGTTAAGGTGCTATTATTGACTGCAACCAATTAAACGTAATGCTGTTCAGTTGACGTCGTATATCGACGGCTCCGGGATATACGGTAGTTCCGAGGTGGATGCACTTGATTTGAGAGATTTGTTCAGTGATCACGGCTTACTTCGATTCGACATCGTTTCTGCATCACATAAACCGTATCTGCCGTTTGAGCGTGAATCGGCGATGGAATGTCGTCGAAATCGTTCACAAGAGAACCCAATCAGTTGTTTTCTGGCGGGTGACTATCGTGCTAATGAACAGGTAGCGAACCTTTCAAGATTTGCAGCCTCTTTTTAGGTACGGCTCCATTCAACGAATATTTCTCTGAGAAAATGTTCACAGTTAATTAAATATTCTGAAACCAAAAAGAATTCGATTGAGATTTTCAAATGTTTCATGCTAGAAGAAAAAAGTTGGACATTTTAGTTGGCTCTGTTGAGTATGCATACGCTTTGGATGCGAGAGCATAATCGCATTGCAACCAAGTTTCTGGAAATCAATCCACACTGGGATGGTGAAACAATTTATCAAGAAACTCGCAAAATAATTGGCGCTATGCTCCAAGTGATCACATATCAACATTGGTTACCTAAAGTTCTCGGACCGGTTAGTTATTGCTTTGATCGCTATCACTTCAATTTGCCATTACGTTTAATGTCTGCCGCCGAATGAACGGAAATAAGCGGCTTCCATCAACAGTTGCTATCATAAGCATATCGTAGAGAAACAAAATTCCTTATTGTTTTCTTGATCTCATGTGGAATATTTGTGTTCGTAGAGCACCTGTTGTTAAAATTCCTTCAAGAGGATGACAAAAATCTGGTTGTTTTGACGAGGCATCCTGCTGTTAGTGGTATTCTTCATCAACTATAAATGACAAACAACGCCTAATAGCAAAATTAATCGAAAACTTTGCAAACAACATCGTTGAGCCGTAATTGAACTGTGATTAACAAAGTTTTTGTTTAGTGCTGGGTTGATGCGTGTCAATGGTATTGAATCTTTAGTGAATGCATGTCAAGAAAGTTTTTTTTTAGGATGGATATGAGCAACTTATCGGTGCATACAAAGGCTACGATCCTGAAGTAAATCCAACTCTGGCAAACAGCTTCTCAGCGGCTGCGCTGCGATTTGGCCACACAATAGTGAATCCAACTTTATATCGATTAGGCAAAGATTTCCAGCCGATAAAAGAAGGTACTTTCTACATACATTTTCAGCAGCAGCAACAGTTGTTTGTTACGATAAATTCCTTTCTTCTCTACCATCCATTAGTTGTAATGGAATTATTCAGAATTGTAATTTTTCTCAGTGTTCAAAGCTCGCAATACGAACAAAGCAACACAGTAACATTCCATTTGTTTTTTTTTTTGAGCAGAAAAGCTTTGCTTCAATAAGTTGAATATCAACACATTCGTACCATCGTGCTCAATCAGAATTTTGTGAACTCAACACGAGAATAGAAGAATTATACAACTTCGTCGTGGTGTCACATGATAGAGAATCTCATCTACCCTGGCCGTCATTTCGTTCACATTTCAGGCAATATCCCCTTGCACGAAGCATTCTTCGCGCCTGAACGCCTTCTCTCCGAAGGAGGCATTGATCCACTGTTGCGTGGTCTTTTCGGGGCACCGATGAAAACACCCAAAGAGCAGCAACTCGTTAACAAGGAACTAACGCATAAGTTATTCAGTCGTGTTGAAGACGTAAGTACAGAACTGAGTAATAAATTTCATTTTGAAACGATTCTCACGCAAAACTCACGTCGACAGTTGGCAGGACTGTATTCACTCTCACATAATGAACTTTCCATTGCAAATGCCATTGCTGTGTCGTCGTTCTGAACGAATTATGATGTCCTCTGAGTAAGGGTCTGTTACCTAATGCTTGGATGCGGTTGCCATTATTATTTGCAGCAGCAGCAGCAGCAGCAATTAACATGTTAATGAATAATTGCAATAAGCAATAATTCCATAAATCCATCTCGGTTCATACATTACACTTTATGCATGAAGGAAAGAATTTTCATCTTTCGAACAACGTTATTTGCTCACTGCGATTGCGTTGTCACCGAGCAACAACGTTGAAGGAAGCAAGTACCCTAGCACTAGAAAAATTTCAAGCATTCACTTAATATCTCAACGAGGGAGCCACTTCATTTGCGTCTAGCAGATAGAGATGTGGTTTGCTTTTTGCTTTTAGCTAAACTAGACATGCAGTCATCTCTTTGTTTCAGTCCATGTACGATCTGGCGACTATCAACATTCAACGTGGCCGAGATCATGCTTTGCCTGGGTTAGTTCTTATATGAGTGATTGATTGAAGTTGTTCATTTGATCTGATCGATGATACATTCAATGTTAAAGGAAATTCACACCTGAGAATGCCAAGAAATCCATATTGATTGAAACATCAGTTCACTGTTCTTCATCAAAGTTGATTAAGATGTCTCTGTGTTGACTGTGGGTGGATGTCAACGATTTTGATCAGAATACTTAAAAAATTTCATATTTCATGGAGGAAAGGTTTTTATTTTTAGTTACATCGAATTTCGTCGTTGGTGCAATCTGACAGTTCCTAACACTTGGGACGATCTCGCTGTTGACATTCCTGATCCAATAGTCCGTCAGAAACTTCAAGAGCTGTATGGGCATCCTGGTAAGAAGTGAACATCTATGAGGGAATCATTATGAGATTGTTGATTTCACTGATCCTTCAACTTTTTTCTCTCGAAATCCGCGGTGTACCTAGAAGTACCTACCTTTCTTGAATGTCTGATATCGAATTGTCATTGTTTTGGTTAATGATTTGTGAAGCATTGTTAATTTCCTCTCTTCCATGAGAAAACGCAGGAGGGCAACATTTTCGGTCAGAGGGTATAGCACCTCCATCAGGAAGGGACGGTACAAAGCATGTTCCGTTCTTGATCTATCAAGAACGGAACATTCTTTGTGGCTTTCGTCATCTGTCATTCATACATTGAGTTTCATTTCTTCAAAGCCCAGCTACGTACAAAACTCATTGGTGCCTCTTAGTGAATTCACTGAACACCTGAAACAGCTGGAAGAATCAAGATACCTATGAGGTAGGAATGATCACGTTGTAATGTTCATGCTTGCGTTCATTCAAAGGTAATGTTGACTTGTGGGTTGGTGGAATCTCCGAGAGGAGACTGGCTGGTGCACTTGTCGGGCCGACGATTGGCTGCATCATTAGTGACCAGTTCCGCAGACTCCGAACGGGCGACCGTTTTTGGTAATTTTCACCTTATACAGTCTTATTTCAACATTTCTTGAGATTGTCCTCATTGAGCATACGAAATAACTCAACCATTTAGCTGTTCATATTTTTCCGATCAGTATTTTTGGCACACAAAAAGCATCTGATTTTCCGTTATGAACAATTGGCTCTTGGCATTGCGTGTTCTGTATTGGCCAACAGCAACTATCAACATTTATTCACTTGCTTATCGCAAGAGATCACGTATCCCGTATGTGGGCATAAAGTAGTGCATGACTTAAACGGCAAAGTAATACGGCAGTCCGTCAGCTTCTGTCGTTTCCTAACTTAATATTATTTCGTGACCTTAACAGAGGGCATGACCAGGCGCCTATTTTGACACAATAGTACTTAGAAGTTGGTCGAAAACGTTTTTTTGGGACCTGAGAAAAAGTGATGCTTGAAAATTTCCCATTGGAAAAGTGACACTCGAAGAAAGATTGGCTCCGATTGCGCAACAATGTAGCCGCCATGCAACCGGAAGCACTTCGGAATGAATCGGAGCAGTTTACGGGCTTGCCGTGAGGTCGTAACAGTTTAGTTCGAGCAGAATTTGTATGGAACTATCTGCAGTAGATCACTCATCAACATAATATTCATACAATTTAGCGTCGCATAATGTAGCCCTAATAAGTGTAAATAATCGTATCTCGTTGAGTACAATGCAACTCAGTTCTTCTAAGCAACTGTTCATGATAGATTTTGTTGAATTTCAAGGTACGAAAACGAGGGCGTTTTCACACCTTTACAACTGCAACAAATTCGTAAAACATCATTGGCCGCAGTTCTTTGTAATTCAGGAGACAGCATTGACAGAGTTCAGGTGTGCTCGTTATTCAGCATTCACATAATTCTCTCGTTATTGCAATATTCAAACTAAATATGCATGTGATGTGATTCAGAACATCATGTAAGAAAATTTTCCACTGAAGGAAACACAAATGTTATGAACAGCAAATCTCGCGATCTGACAAGGAGTAACGAAACAATTCAAATTTCAGACAGATGTTTTTGAGTACAAAGGCAATCGCTCGATGAATTTCTACAGAAACTGTGATCAAATTCCACAAATTAACCTTAATGTTTGGCAAGCTTGTTGTGATAAAACGTGTGCATCGTCATTCGCTGATAGTCATGTGACAAGTAGCCGGTTAGTTACGTACAAATATTCTGCTAATTAATCAGCGAAATGATCCACTTAGCCGCTGATTTTGCGTCAGTGCAGTCGTCTTCGAATTTACGATTCCAGTTCTTATCTTACTGTACACGTTCGGTGGGACCGCAACACTTTGTTCTGACCTAGAATGCGTCCGTCGTTTCATATTCACAGTCTTTTCAAACATTCGATCAAGGTGCTTGCGCACACTTAAATTTCTCGGAACACCAATGTTTCATTGTCATCACCTTCATTTTATAGAAAGCGACGAGCAAATGCATTATATAACCAGAAGTTCTGTGAATCAGACGGAATACTGCGTGAGAACGGAGACGTATGGAATACTGATGAATGTACAACATGCAAATGCGTGGTATGATTGCTTGATCTCTGTTACCAGTTTTCACCTATTTTTGCTAACTCAAACCGCAGTCAGCATGCTACGAGGGCCGTTCGAATGCATTTTGAAATTTTATCTACTCACATCTTCCACTGTTGATCCTGCATAAGGTTTTGGCTCGTTTTCTCGAAATTGTTCAAACTTCAGTGAATTAGGGTGGTATACATCAGCTAAAAAGCATATGAGTGCAATTCTGATTGAGCGACGACATATTTGAAACCAAATTTGAGTTCCTTCGCAATCCGATCAAACCGAAATTCTCTACTGTGATCAATTTTCAAAGTTTTGGTCAGAATTCGACCGAATCCATTTTTGAGCTACCGGAACTTGTTAATCATCATTAGTATAACTATGTTCTTGGGAACTTTGCAGTACGTAATGCAAAGCGTTGCAGGATGATGAAGTATGGTGTTCGGTATCGAAGGGATGCAAGAGGTCGAAGACATCGGCTAAACATTGAACCATTAGTCAATTCAACCATCAAAAGCAGACACATTCGTTTACGTCTCTTTCCATATCTGCTAATTTCGTGTTTCAGTGTACCTTACCAAAGTGATCAATAAAAATTTCAAAATCATACATTACGACTACATGAATAATTCCCTTCAGTTCCTTCTCAATGTAAAACCGATAAAGATTTCGCTGGAGAGATGATGCAAAGCGATTGCTGCTAATGCTGGAAATGATCGCATATGACCTGTGCTAAACCTTGAGCTCATTCATTCGACTTTGTACCTAATACGGCTGTTATGGGGAAAAGCAGATTGTCTGACGTCTTGCCAGGTCACTAGCACAGTTCACTTCTATCTGGGTGGCAACACCTTTGGCAGTGTTCTGTTCTGTTCCACTTCTGCTGTTCTTTCTGTTCTATTCCCACACCGTCCGAATTTGTGAACCGTTTTGTTCAGTTCTGTTCTGACATTCAAACTCTTCTATTCTGTTCTACTCTTGTTCCCCCACTTAGAAAATAACACGACACGAATTGTAACAATTAGGGTTGGAAACTTGGCGAAAGCAGTGCTAAACGGAGAAGGTTATCCACGCAAGGAGTCAATGCTTTTGGCGGTGACGATTAAGGGAGAACGGAGGGTTTCGAGCCCTGGTAACCAGCATCTCTGAAAAACAGAAGCACCACAATCTTGAACTTCTCCTGCAAACTCGGTATGAACTCTAGAATTAAAACATTTCAACTAGGTGAACAATTTTGTGCGTGCTTGCTCGCNAATCTGGAATGGACTGATTTGTTTAGTCCGACTCACTTCTTCCGAGGATAAACGTTTATTGGAGGCGTGAGATAGACTGCACCTAGAGTTCGAATTATAATCAACAACTGGAAAAAATAATCATCTTAATTATGATGACAATGATAATAATTATAAAGACTTAAAGGAAGCATTATCACAAAAGTGAAGAATCAAAGAGTGAAGAAAACAAGTGATTTGAGATGGTGCATCAATTCTTCGAAAAATCAATTTTAAGAGGAGGGAGACTCGTTGATCCGCAGTGCATGAAAGGATATGGTTCGATTGTTCCCACTACGGACATCATGTTAAGAGATGTCTTATTTGAATAAGGTAGAAACAATTGACGATGATCAAATTGTGCTATGGTGATGGAATACATTTGGACTTAGGCTCAGGCTGAGGTATCCATTAAGCAAATTGGTGGTTCTATCATACCGCATGAGATACATGTTGAATAGATAGGTGGGTTACCAGTACCACATCCAGTGTAAGCATGAAACTAGGTGTGATACTTTGCTTCAGTTATCGTCTTTCATAGTTTAGTCCTGGCTTGAATGAGTGTTTTGATCGTTTCTATCGTGTAGCATCCTCCACTACATAATCAGTGTTGCAATGTAACCATCGAAACTGGAGCTTTGGTATAAGTTAACCTAAGCTCAGGCTTAGGCTCAGATTTAAATTTAGATTCGGGATCACCCTTCGGCTGCGTTGCGTTGCGATATCCAGCATCACGCAACCTCTTCAATACGGATATATGGGGATGCAAGCGTACATAGTGATGCTTCTATCACCGTGAGCGGATGAGACTTCTCAGATTGTTGATTTTTCGAGGAATTGATGCGAGAGTTGACTTCCGAAGAATTTCGATTCGAAGAATGAAGAATTCCGAAGAATTCTTCAAGGAATCGACGAACTGTGATTTGAAGTGTCCGATGATACAGAAAAGAAGAACAGTTGAAAAGCGATCAAATAATAATGGAGCGATTTACAACGACAAAAAATCCCTAATGAAGCACGAGATATAATTTACAGCTTGAATATCACTCGAACGATATTATGATGTGAATCAGTATGAATATTATGACATTACGATATTAATATTATGAATTATGACGTGAATGAGACAGACCATTCAGCTGGTAGAATGTTTCAGAATTGGACGTAGATGAACTGATTGAACTGATTAGATAAGGGACAATGTATCAAATGATGGCTTCACTGAGGTATCACCTGTCTTTTCTTGCAAACAAAAAAAAATTGGATTTGAGTGCCGGAGGTTCGGCATCCTGTGTCATCCCACATTCCATTATCACCCACATAATTAGCAAAAGCACAGTGTACATATTCGCCGCAGCAGCCATCTGGCTGAGAAATGCGCCATTTCGAGAAATTGAAAGGAGTTCCATCAGTCCACCGACTTTGGCCAGCGAAATGTTGAAGACCAATCCAATATCTCGTTCCACCAGCTCGACGAACGAGACCTGCAAAGAAACACTTGCTTTAAACTCGTTATCATCCATTCTCAACATAAATGTAAGAGCACGTTTACGAATCAATTGATGTCTGCAATTCTGCTTAACTTTAACAATAATTTTACTTTCTAGCAATGCCCTCATAACGATTTCAAAATGAAATTTTTTCTGGTTGCAGTGAACGCTGTGACCATTTCGGTCTGTCTACTTGCTAACAACAATTCCGCTGTTTCTGGACCTCAATGATCCGTTTACTCTTCAATGCCTCCTGAATGCTCTGAAGTGTGTTATCTGCAAGTTTGAGTATCGCTGGTATGAAGCTATAATCTACCTTGCAATTAATGGAGAAAAAGCATGAGGATGAACATGATTTGTTTAAACGAACTCTAATATAATTTTCATATATTGATAAAATCAACTTTTCAATTCAATTACTACGTTTCAGCACGTGTTGAAATGACATCTCGACTGATAATGAACGTTAACGCATCAACTCCTTCCGTCTATCATTTCCAGTAATGCGAGCACATCGGAATCATTGTGCTCTTTGAATGTACCCATATGAACATAGGTTCTATAGCGAATTTTTTCTAGAATCAAATCACGAACCGTTTACGAAATCTAGCTCGCTTTGACTATGAATTGATACGCTGTGTGCATCGTCTCTCAAACATCTTGCTTCTGTGAATTGAAAAACGTTCGAGCCTGACCGCTGAAACTAGTGGTAAATGAGATGCAAATTACGATAAGCTCTAATTTTTCAGTTGAGATCAATATCAATTTTTGTATTGAATATCCCTGACGCAATAAGCGACTCAATAAGCGGAGAGAACATTCCGACTTCCTTCAAAAGATGTAATTACGGTCTTTCGAAATTAGTGCTCAGTGAATGAGCATTCATCCTGTACAGGAGCAATTTTTCAATCTGAACTGCTTTCATTAATGATATTACCCCAAATCTAAAATTGTCACTTATACGGGCCATATGAACACCATTCCGTTCCGTTTAAATGTTATCAGTTCTGCTATGTGAATCTGGAATGAAAATCCCTGTTTTCAAATAACATAAACACCCACCGCTTGGTAGCAAAATCTTCCATTTAGCGTCCATCCTCGTTCGCAAACGCGCGGGGCTACATCAGGAGGGGGTACTGGAATCAACCCCTGTGCTTTCTTGCACACACTACGAATAGAGTTAACGGTAGGATTCAAAAAGCATCCGGCATCATCCCATAGGCCTCTGTTGTTCGCAAAGTTCACTAACACGCACTGCGGTCTCGGAAAAAAAGGACAACATCCATCCGGTTGGCTCGCTCGCCAATTAGTAAAACCCACTACGGTACCATCGGCCCACCTTCCAGTCACGTTGAGGCCATTCCAGTACATAAGTCCACCATTCCTAACAACCANAGAACTTAATCAGCATTCTGTTCTCACACATTTTGCTTCATGTATGAGTTGCAGTTAACTCATTATATTGGTGTCCAAAATTCAACGTGCGTTTACCACTTGTTTCTGGTGAATCAAACTGCACTGCAAATAGTCTCTGCTTCTTCGCTGTTTCATTATCGAATCATTCGAGCAAAAAAAAAGCAAATCATTACGCTGGTTAGTTTTCCATGGAAAAACTTTGATTCAACCATTGATTTAATGTAAGTGATTAGTACCGTTAACGAAATCGTTCTCGTTTTGATTCAAAATTGATACTGGAAAAGCGCCCATTGAAGCGCAAGTTGTTAAAGCTGTCGGGTATATATGTGCGCCACCTTGCTGAAACAGTTGATCGACAATGAATTGAAAAGTTGACTGGTCAGTTTTGTGCAAACTCTTTTTCAGGAATCCAATGAAATCGTTCTTTTGTTCACATTAAGCGTTTGATTAAACTGTTTGATAAATAGTAATTTCCAGTAATGGGTATGAGGGATCGAGACTTCAGGTTCGCTTGTCGAACGGCTTTCTTGTTCTCATGGCTGGTGTTTCAAAGAAACTATTGTCAAGTTGAGATTGATGCTTTAAGCCTAGGCTGAGGTAGATGTTTAGGCATTGGCTGAGGTTGCTACTTAAGCCCAGGCTGAGGTTGGTAGTTAGGCCCAGGCTGAGGTTCATCTCGAGGTCGTGGACGAACCT